AATAGCTGCTAAATAGCTTCGAAATAGCTGCTCAATAGCTGCTAAATAGTTGTTGAATAACTACTAAATAGGTGCTAAATAGCTGCTAAATAGCTTCGAAATAGCTGCTAAATAGCTGCTAAGTAGCTGCTAAATAGCTGCTCAATAGCTGCTAAATAGCCGCTAAATAGTTGTTGAATAACTACTAAATAGGTGCTACATAGCTGCTAAGTAGCTGCTAAATAGCTGCTCAATAGCTGCAAAATAGCTGCTAAATAGTTGCTGAATACCTGCTAAATAGCTGCTAAATAGTTGCAAAATAGCTTCCAAATAGAGGCTGAATAATTGAGAAATGGCTTCTAAATAGCTTCGAAATAGCTGGTAAATAGCTTCTAAATAGCTGGTAAATAGCTGCTGAATAAATGCTAAAGAGCTGCTAAATAGCTTCTGAATAGCTGCTAAACAGTTGCTAAATAGAACAAGGAGGTGAATGGATTCATGTGACTCTGGAATATTCGAACTGCTGACGTATAATTTTGGATTATTCCAAGTGCTAGTAGGTAGTCATACACTCATATACTATCTTTGTTCATGTGGGATGTGAAATGTACAGTGTGTGAGTTAGTTGACATGACATGTTTTGCATCTTTTTGGATGCAGAAGTCCCATGTCATGTGATTTTTTTCCGAGGCACTTTACAGATGACACGGGACTTATGCATTTTTCTGCCTTTTTCACTTTGCAAATGACATGGGAGTTTGCGTTTTTTGGGTGTGTCCGACAACTCCCATGTCATCTGCAGGTACTATATCTATCTATCTCTCTCTCTCTCTCTGTCTGTCTGTCTGTCTGTCCGTCTGTCTATCACCTGTCTATCTGCAAGCTTGAAAAGGAAGCTGTTCTGCGAGACGTCCTCAGGTTTTGAACTTGACAACAGCAAAAACGCAGCAATTCTGCGAGACTTCCTCACTGTTTGAAGTTGACAACGTCAAAAACGAAGCAATTCTGCGAGACATTCTTAATTTTTGAACTTGAAAACGTCAGAAACAAAGAATTCTGCGACACTTCCTCATTTTTCGAAGTTGACAACATCAAAAACGAAGCAATTCTGCGAGACTTCGTTCAAAAATGGAAAGTTGAGCGCAGCGCTGACAGCCTCGTACCATTGCGTTTTGCGATTTTTCTACTCCACCTGTCTAAAGCACTGCGCCTGCCACGAAAAAGTGATGCCAGGTCACACGAAGTGCTGCACCTGTCACGCAAAATCATCTCAGCAAATCTGAAGATCTGATGCTCCAAAATGCAACCCTTCTCAGGAAATCAGCGCCTGGACCTCCTAACAGCTTTGATGAAGATGTCTCTTGTACTGCGCCTGCCACGGAAAAGGCATTTTTGCAAATCCTCTGCAAATGCCCCCCGCCTGCCATGGTTTTTGGAAATGCCCCAAAACCCTCAGGTTTTGCTCACTTTTGACAAGGTGCACAATCCCTTGCGCCTGCCACACGAAACGACATCTGAACCTCCAAAAGTGGCGCGAGCATGTGGTGCTTTGTACATTTTGACTTCGAAATGTGCTTCGCGCCACAACGGCATGCACTTTTTCGACATCGCAACTTCCAAAAGTGGTCCGAACGTGATGTGCTTTTAGCTTTTTCACTTGCAAATGTGCTTCGCGCCACAACGGCGTGCAATTTTTCATCTCTCATCTGGCCAGCTGGCTCCGCACCCGCCGCTTTAGCGAGCCTACTTTTCGACCCTCCGGAGCCCCAAATCATTGGAAAAACACAGTGTTTCGCGGCTTTCCTACCTTTTCGCGCATCTGCATCTTCTTTCTTCTGACTCTTTCTCTTCTCTGATCTGCTCTCTTCTACTCTTCTCTTCTCTATGCCTCTGCCCAGCTCTGCTTTTCACCTGTCCATATTGTCGGAAGTTTGACTTCTAAACTTCCTTCGATTATTTATTTAATGTATATAACCCAAAATACGATTTGTCCAAATAGGAACCCTTAGAAACGCCTCTGGAATGCATGCAGAGGTGGACCATTCATGGCCAGAATCAAACTCAACCCGTGCCAGGATTTGCCAGAAACCAACAGAAACCAACAGAAACGAATCCAGAAAGCATCAGAAAGCATCAGAAAGCAAGGAACGAATCCAGGCACTGGGCAGCTCACGTTTTTACTTTTATCTGTAAGACCTTAGCAATCACCATCTGCATACGAAAGGAAAATAAGGAAAGTAAATTGCATGCACCACTGACGACGGTGCGAGGTCAAATCATATTGACTTTGCCATCTTGAAAACTGACTGTATGCCATATATGCTCTTCTGACTTCTCATTACTTCTCCACTGGACCGACTGCTAAAATCACGTGGCGATTACAAGGGGCTTGTGGGCCTGAACAGAAGGAAAATCCACTGGAGGCGCAATCGCCTAGGGACAAATTGAGAACAAAGCACAAGACAGCATGTTGGCATTTTCTTTAAATGTTCTTTAAAAGACAAATCTCTTCTGATTCACCGAGATTTATCTTCTCAATATATATATATATGTGTGTGTGTGCATACATACTTTGAATAGATCATTTGATGAGATTTGAATAATTTGAATACTACATTGACCTCATCTGTGCAACGTGCGTCATCTGAGGACAGCGACATCGATCATATGGAGTTCGGTGCCCAGCTCGGGATGAGGTTGTCCCAAAGCCAGCGTGGCTGCAGGCCGAAGCAATTCGTTTCCGTGTTTCTCATGAAGCGCTGACCTCTTTGTTTCAGTGTTTTCTCCATATAGGGACCTTGGCGCCTGTGGTACTTTGTCTACGATGATTTCATGTTGGACTTTGTGGCGCGCATTCTCAGACGCTAGCGGATCTTTTCCTGGACGCGCCAGAGACTATCAACTATGTCGACGCATGGCGACGGCCAGCTTCCACTTGCCAGGAAACCAATCTGGTATATACCTTGTGCAGCAGTTGGCTGAAATTGGATGCTCGTGTTTGTTGCTTCTCAATGCTTGTCGAATATTCCTGAATCGCAACCAATTTGCAAAGTCGTTGACCATAGCATGCGCTGCGACCGTTGACCTGTGGACCCTGTTTTGCAACCCCGTCTACCTTCAAACCACACAGGCTGAGCCGCCAAGACACCGGAAGACAAACCAGAAGAGGTTCTCAGACGATTCCAGGAACGCCTCTGCAACTTGACAGTCCGCAGATTTAAAGTGAAATAGCATCAAACCTGTCTGGCATGAAGTGCCACTGCTATAAGTTCTCGCAAAGTGACAAGGAGAAAAAAATAGTTTTCTAAATCGTACAGAATGACAAAAGAATACAAAAGAATATGACAAAAAAATGAGCAAAATGACAGCGACGCTGCCTGCGCGCCCAAGGTCCCCAGTACCAAGGCGCTGCCACATCCGAGTGCTGCCATAGCACCCAGAAGCATAGGGCCCAAGGGTCCGACGAAGAGACGCGACCAGGTTGGCTCCTTTCGGCACGAACTAGAAATACAGTATATAATTTCAAAATAAAATGTTCCATTGAAGTGTTCAGTGTTCAGTTGAATTATGTTGAAATTACTTGAAATTACATTCAAGAGAATTCCAAGAGAGCACAGGAAAGCCTTCACACACTCGCACAGAATCTTTTCTGAACATATTCTGTCCAGGCTTGATAGGTTCAAAGTTGAAAAGACTCTGGATGTTCTGCAGATTGTACAAAGATGAGTGCTTGTGTGTGTGTGCGCGTCCGGCTTTGTGAATCGGTACAGTACGTCTTGTCGGGTCGTACTTGTACCATCTTGTACCACCCGACCACTGCCCAAACTCTGGCCTGCTTTTCTATGCGCTCGCAGCGCTCCTTCAGTAAAGTGGGTCTTCATAATCTTCATCTACAACGGCACGTAGCACCAAAGTATGGGAGAAACTGGGAGAGTCTCAAAACATTTTGTTTCAGTGCTTGTCACAGCTTGACTTGCTACTTCTGCCAGTGACAAAAAAGACATCTTCCTCTCATGCTTGTGACTTGTTGGGATTCTTGTTGCTAGAATCTAGCTGCTTCTTTCTTCCACATTCCGACAAGATGTCCTGAGCTTCCTTTCGCCTGGCAGTATCTGCAGGCAAAAAGGGCAGGGACTTCCATAGACACATCTATATACAATAATGGAATCTAGGGTGGAATTCTTGGATTTGTCGTAGACCTCCAAGAATCTGCATGCCATTAAGCATTGAATCCGCAGTTGCCGTTTTATCATAATTGAACGGAAAAATGGCGAGGGTTAGCTTGACAAAGGTGCACGGCTAAAGTGTGCAGAATCGAGAATCGAGAATCGAGGATCGAGGATCGAGAATCGAGAATCGAGGATCGAGGATCGAGAATCGAGAATCGAGAATCGAGGATCGAGAATCGAGAATCGAGAATCGAGAATCGAGAATCGAGGATCGAGAATCGAGAATCGAGAATCGAGGATCGAGGATCGAGAATCGAGAATCGAGAATCGAGGATCGAGAATCGAGGATCGAGAATCGAGGATCGAGAATCGAGAATCGAGAATCGAGAATCGAGAATCGAGGATCGAGAATCGAGAATCGAGAATCGAGAATCGAGGATCGAGGATCGAGAATCGAGAATCGAGAATCGAGAATCGAGGATCGAGGATGGAGAAAAACAAAATATACAAGATTGATTGGGGATCGAGGATCGAGGATGAAGAACACTATCGGAGTGCGCAGTCAAGGTTTGGGAACCATATGCATACGTAGTGTTTGGTAGGCATGTGTGTGAAGGGCATAGTTCAGTACCCTCATTGATTCATGTCGGCATGTAAATAATGAAACAGTGTACCCTTGGCAAGCCAACTTGCAATGGTGAGGGAAGCAGAGAATTAGGAGGGTTGTCCACATCACCTCAGCCGATGCCCATGATGCCCATGATGCCGCTCTCAGAAACAAACCAGAAGCAAACAAGAGACTGACACGTTGAAGACCAACATCACCCATAAAAGATGCCGCGGCCGAAGGCCATGTCATGGACATGTGAAAAGCTACTGTGTGTGACTAAGGTGAACATAGAGCAAGTTGCCACTGTTTTCAAGCCCTCACAGATCCATCCTTCCGCGACGACGGAAGCTGTGGAGACGGCAGTGGAGCTTGGCAAGTGGTTCCACGCGAGTTTCCAGAACACTGTTGGGGCTCGTGCGTTGGTGAGCGAGTTCAAGACTGAGCGCAGCAACATGATTCTCTTACCTCGTCCTTGCGTGAAAGAAGCTGCCGGCCTCATTTCGCATGAGACGCGTGCGCATGTGTGCCTCGTTGTATTCACAGGGCGGGTAGTTAGAGTCAAAGGGTCGGCATTGGGCAGGTGTGCGGTTGGGCTGCCCAAGAAGCAGGGGTGCAATTAGGGATGGGCTGCTGTCATGACCGGGGTTTGGAACTTGCTAAGGAATATTGCAGCTGCATTGGAGTGTCTTTCTTTGAAGACTTGGACCTTGAAGGCTTTCGCCTTGAATGCAGAGCACACCGCGGCACAAGTGCGGGCCAGACTTCCAGACCTTTTGATTTTAGCGATGATGGGTTTCGTCGTCATGGGCTGCGGCCGCTACGCTCTAGTTGGGTATGCCGAGGATGACGAGGATTTTGTCATTTGCTGCAACAGGCCTGAGCAGCGCAAGTGCGCTTAGATAAATCAAAATGTCTTGCGTGTCTGTTTTGCCGTCATGTTGTAGAGAGTCTGCAAGGCAGCTGGCAAAGTTGCAAGAGATAATCTAGAATAAGTTGGTCCACGTAGCCTTGAGGGAGCCCTCTAAATGTAAACACAAGTCGGGGCATGAACTTCAACCATATAGCATGCTAGCGCGAGGCTCACTAGTTGGGATGCTGAAGCTGATCTTGCTGCTGTCCGGTCTTGGGTACCAACCAGTGGAGCAGAGAAGCCGAAGCTGGACCAGGATGCATGTGATGATGCCATATCGTGCATCCACCGTCTTCTGCGGGGGGAAGCTGCAAATGTGGATGGATGTCGAGATGTGTTCATGGTGGATCCTCTCGTGCCTACGCAAGCGTGCCCGGCGCCAGAGACGGCAGTTCCCTTGACGCAGGAGGCTGTGGACGATCAGGCCCCGCCAGCAAAGAGGTTGCGGCGAGAGAAAGACTTGTGTCGCGATGACTTCTCCAGCAATGTTCCTTTGGCAAAGAACATACTTCTGTACCTACTGAAGTCAGCAGCCTCAAGGGTGACTGCGCGGGTGATACTGGATGTCACAAAGCTGAGGCAGTGTGCTCAGGCAGAGGAATTGGAAGCGATGGCTCGCAATGTGTTTCGCTTGGGAGCTGAGGCAGGGTTGGCTTCCTTAGGCCCTCAAGGTGGCACCTGGACTGGCGTAAAGCCGCCTCCTGAGCATGAAGCCGCAGTTGTGACACTTCTGCGAGAGCTGTTTGAGAATAACATGCAGGGGGTGGAACCAGCTATAAGGAAACGTGGAGTGGCAGAGATCTTTGACATGGGTAAGTGTGAAGCTGCTTTGGCATTGTTACGCTAAGCAGCACCGGTGTGTGCGCTGTGCAGTGTCCAACAGGGCGCGCAACATGGAGCGCGCGCTGCGCGCGGCAGGAATCAATCCCTGTAGGGGCACATGGTAGTCGAACCAGTTTTGTTGCCTTAAGGGGGGGTTGGCTAGCCACCCGCACGTATTAGCGCGTCAATTTGGGGCTGGCTAGCCGCCCCATTTTGGGAATTTCATTTTTTGAGATTACATTGTCGTGTGACCATGACGGAGGCATAAGGTTTAGGGCATGCTGGTTTTGTCGCAGCAGCGCAGCAAGTGCATGGGAGACGCCGCTGTGTGTTGCGATGGTGGAGCGCTGACAAAGGCGTAAACAGAACAGGTCTTCTAAGGAATTGTGCGGGGCCACGTAGGTTCCACAGTTCGCATGTTTCAGAAGCATAGTGCCGTCATATTTGCAAGACCAGCAAACAATATAAATGTAAACAAGCTCCTAAAATTGTAGAAACCAGTCACTGCGCTAAGCAACATAAGACCCACATAGACCCACTGTTCTGATTGTTGACAACATCCTGTCCTCAGAATCTCACGCCCGGCAAGCCATCGCTGTGTCCCTGCCATGTCGCATGTGTCCACGTTGAAGTGGTGACTGGTGAGCGACACACCGTAACCACCGCGCAGCGGCAAGCTGTGGAAATGGAGACCAAGTGCAAGATCTCCTTGAGAGCGAGAAAAGGGCAGAGGCAGCTGCACGTGGAAGGCACTGTTTTTGGTGTCCAACTAGCAAGGAGAATGATGCACGAACTCATGTTGGAAGGACTGGATTTCAATGTTTTTGTTTGGGCCACGGGGAGGCGACTGGGAAGGCTATAGCCTCCCCAAAGTCTAGAGCAAATAAGTTACAAATTTCAGAGAGCAGTTAGAGTCTGCCAACATTGCATGGTAGGACGGAGGCTGACAACGACATCGCCCAAGAGTGCTCCTGCTGTGTCGGGCACTGCGGCTGTGCCACCACCATGGCGAGCAGCTCCTCCGGTTATGCCTCCACCACCGAAGAGATGTACCTTGGCTGATAGTTCAAACATTTTGGGTTGACGTTGCTTTGTTTGGAGAGACACCTACTTTTGCCCGGGAATAAGTTTGAGGTGTGGGTTTTCAATGCGCTTAAACATTGCGCAGGTCGAATGGCGGAGGGTGCCACACCACTTGTAGCCTCAGCATCCAGCAGCGCTGTGCCTGCGTCAGCGAGGACCGCACCAGCTGCCCAGACCATGCCCGCTGCATTGCGTGGATTTAGCTTCACCTTCCATGTGTTTGGGGTACAGCACATAGTTGGAGGCGACTACCCAATCCGAGTGGACTGCAACGACTTCAACGACCCCTATAGGAATCCTGAGCTGCATGCTCACCCTGGATGGCACTCGCAAACCCTGTGGAATTGCTTTCGCAGCGAGAGCTGGGAAAATCTATTGAGGAATTTGTTCCGTTGGATCCGGGACGAAGCCGCGCCTGGACAGCATCTCTTTTGGGATTTTTTGTACGACCGGACGTTACAGGAGCGTTGCGGTGGCGTGGCTTCTGGAAGAGGTTTTGAAGCAGGTGGGTGCAGACAGGATCACCGTCCAGTAATTATCTTGCAAGGGAGGCGGGCGAATGGAGCCACCTTTGTAGCAATTGTGAAGATTGCCGAGAGGACAATCCGGCAAAGCAAGAGAGCTGAAGAGAGCTCTAGCAACTCAACTGACGGAGCTGTGGGCCGAATTGATGCGAAAATGGTGAGCGTGTCATGAGCAGGCTAGCCGCTCAGGAAGCAGCCAGTGGCTCAGGGGTTAAAGTTTAAAGGCACATACGAGAGACAGGTGGCTAGCCCCTGGTCAGTGTACAGTGTATATAATATAGACATGTCTAGGAACTAAAACTGAGCGCGAAAACCTGTGTGTAGAGTACATGGGCGCATGAAACCAAAGAACGTCCTCAATGACAACATTAGAAAGCAGGTTCGAGAACCGAGGATCGAGGATCGAGAACGAAGGATCGACAATAATGATACGAGGTTGTCACTTGTCAGCTTGTGAAAAGTCTTTCTGAATGAATGCAATGAAGCGGGCAGAGAATCAATCATGATCCACCTGGCAATGCCATGCCGCAGCGCCGCATACCGAACCAATAAATACTAAGGGTATATCCAGCAAGATGCCGTACCAGGCAGCAATTACGCAAAGATGTCCTACAAGGAATCAAAATCAAGGTACTGCATGCACAGCCCCCTCGACCTGTACACTGTACTGTGCATGTCAACCTGGACGCAGGTGTCACCGGGGAGTTCAGTATACCTCATCCTGTAAGTGATCCAGCCAGCATCACTGTACTAGATCGTCCCCCCATAGCACCCACTGGGTGCACGCTACTGGGTGCCCAGGTCCACTACGCTAGCTACATGCGAAAGGCCCTAGCCAATAGCCTACGTCTCGCCTACGCTGAAACTCTCGCTAGAAGGGTATCTATGCACGAGCACTTTCTTGCATGCTGGCGACACAGCATTTGACCAAGGGCCAGGGAGCACCCCGGAAGGGATCCAAGGAGCAATCAAAACACCGCAGCCACAGAGGGGAGGAGCAAAACTTTATAGGCACTGTTCCCCTGCTCGACATGCATGAGACTTTTGCCAAATATATCTGGCTCAAGATCTCGCTCAAGGTGCCTGGTGTAAAAGAGGAACTTTGAGTCTGACTTACTTTGGGCTTTTCCACGCCGCTTGACGAGAATCGAGAATCGAGAATTGAGGATCGAGAATCGAGAATCGAGAATCGAGGATCGAGGATCGAGGATGGATGATCGAGGATCGAGGATCGAGGATCGCGGATCGAGGATAGGTTTGGAACTAGCCCTACGGTCCCTACGGTCACGATGCCCTGAAGCCACGGTCGCTCAATGCAACTCCCTACCGTTGCCCACGTTGACCCCACCGCTGAAGCTAGCAAGGCAAGAAACACACTTAAAGTATCCTAAAGTATTGAACATGGGCCTGCTGAGCCTGCTAATTTCTTAATAGAAGGGCCTTAAACCTTGAAGCATCTTAAAGCCAGGCTTAAAACGAGGCTTAAAGTCACGTCCAATGTAGGACAAAGACTCTGTTTGACACTGACTCTAGCAAAACGTTGCTCAATGTTGGCAGTCTCGGTCCAATTGCGAGTTTAAGGCTGTCCCATAACCCAGCTGCCAAAGAACTCGCAGTGGAGGGAAAATGAACGCTCATTTTTTTCGGAAGGTACTTGCCTCAGCTGCAGGTCATACATGCGCCGCATCCCAACATGGAGCAGGGTGTTGTACGCCTGGGCAGGGAGGAAATTAACGTGAAATGGCCTGGATCAAATCAACTGTCCCTGCTATCTGTCCAAAAATCTGCTGCCACTTGTACCATTGAATGTGCCAAGCGTTTTCCGATTTTCAGACGGCTTAATCACTTAATCAATAAAAGTTTGAACAAACCGCTTTGCTGCCCGGACATGGCTGATCTGCTGGAAACGCTCCGCTGCTGCCGGATCGTTGTGGCCGATAGTGTCTGGGTGAAACTCCTGTCAAGTGCCAAAGAGCTTGCAGAAATGCTCTCGAAGGTTCAAAAATGGCTGACACAATCCAAACCTTGGCCAGGCGTTTGTAGGCAGCCTTTATTTCTTCTGGACTTGCACCTAGAGACATTACAAGTGCAAAGGAAGCCGACTGCGTGGTTGATGAGTGCAAGCAAAGTGAACAGATCGAAAAGAGTGGAGTGGCCTAAGGGTGTGTTTGTACTTTTTTGAACACCACTGTTGATGTGTCGGAAAACAGTAGGAACATGTGAGAACACTGAGAGAACTCTTCAGATTCAAGTCTAAGAGATATGCCTTTCTGCAAGCCCAAAGTTGTGTACAGGTTCTCCACGTCTCTTGCCTCTTTGGCAAAGTGACGGCCTCGGCGGTAGGTTGGTTTCATCTCCTTGTGGTCAGATGTGGTCAGGTAATTGGCAAAGGCAATCTTGCTTTCACGAAAACAATGACGACCAAAAGGAATGATTGACGATGCCTTCTTTGTCCAAAGGTCCTTAAGACAACCTTTTGTCATCATGTATGATGAGGATTCTTGTTGTAACTACTATGATTACGATTATGATGGTGTTTGTGAATGTGTTTCTGATTATGGTTTGATTATGGTTATGATTATTATTAGTATTATGATTATGATGATAATGGTGATGCTGATGCTGATGCTGATGGTGATGGTGATGGTGATAGTGGTTGTCGTTGTGCTGATGCTGATTCCGATTCTGATTCTGATGCTGATGCTGATGCTGGTGATGAGGAAGAGGAGCAGGAGCAGGAGTAGGAGCAGGAGCAAACGACGATGAGAGGAGCGGCGTTGACGGTGACGATGACTATGATGTAGTGATGATGTTTCCCCGCGTACAGGCCTTTGCATCACATGGTGGCATGCCAATCAGTTGGCAGAGTCTCTGGCAAGTGCCTTTAGCAGCAGGCAGTGGCAAATGATTAAAATAGGGAGAAGCTGGAAAAAATATTGTGCCAACCCCGACGGGACATATCAGACATGATCGTCTCACAGATTGCGGGCATGAATATCTACACCTGTCCTACTGATCGACAAATGAAACATGATGAAACATGTAGCAACGATGGCAATGTGAGGGCTCTGGCGCAGAGTCACTAGGCCAAGACGGTGAGGCAGGAGCCTCAGGTCAAAGCGGGGATCTCCGGGCAAACCGATCCAGCTGTTCTGTCTTGTGACATGTTCCTGTTTGCATGTGTGTATACATATATACAATATAATATATATATATAATTGTCGTATTGTATAGACATGGTTAGACTGTGTTCAACGTTGCTGTTTTCTCCAAGCATTTCCGAGCAATACTCAGTCTCCTCAGTTGTTTGGTGCACTTGGTCTCCTGGCACTGTCCTTGCCACTGCCATCCTTGTTTCAGTTGAAACAAATGACACCGAAATCATGCAAAGGAGAGCGGGAAGTGATTTCTATGAAACCAAATTCCGTGCACAACACACAACAGAACTCTTGATCCTTGGAGAGCAAAATGGAGCACCCCTACCAGGCTTACTCTCAAAAGCAGCAAACACTTGTTAAAGATTCTGAAACCTACGTCAGAATCTGATCGTTTGGCACCTTGGCGAAAATTGGATGCTCTTCATGGACGCATTTTCTAAACGCAAATGCGCGCCATGTTTAGCTAACATCTGTTTGCAATCTTACAGGTGTGACAGTACTTGATTCTGATTTTTCTTGAATATTGGACAGCTTGAGGTTCTGAACAAACATGCAAGGATGCAGTAGTTGACCCTTGGAGGAGTTCTTGGCGGTGCTTTTTGTATCTTTTGGTGTCATCCATTTTCTTCCGGCCAAGTGATGCTTTGCTTTGTAGTAAATCTTTGAGCCAAGATGTTGCATGTTCTCTAGCAAACTCTTCGCCATTCAATTCCTCCCACAACCCATTCAGAAAGTGATTCTGGCAAGTCCTGCTCATCTGGCTTTGCAAAACCAGGAGTGCCACAAACGCCACGAATCAAAAACTCATGAGAAAAACTGAGAATGGATGACCAGGACATCCCAGTGTCAAGGCTGCAGTGCACCTCCACATAGAAGGTGTCCTTCTTGGCCTTCAAAGCGGATGTTAGAATACCACAAACATCCACAAACAAGATTGCACACAATTTGAAAAGTGTCCAAGAAACAGTTTACAGGCTTGATTTTTGCACATGTTTTTGGCATATCACCAGTGAAAGTTTCACATCCTACCATTGCCTACCATCCTGTAGTTCCAGATCAGCCCAGAAGCTGCTTGTAATGGGCCCAACTGCCCCATGGGCTGTGAAAGTCGCACCATCATACTTTAATCAGTTAGCAACATCACGAGGATCAGCATGTCCATAATCTCAGTTCCAATGATCACAGGCTCAGGATATCTCACGATCAACATCTATTTCACACTATCAACATATGTTTGGTCATTGGGTTCATTGGAAGAGTGCCTCTGCAGCTTCCAAAAGGCAGCGCTCTACCAAAGGGTTAACCTGCCCCAGCGACTACGGTGGCTATGGTACTACTGTACTGTCATGCTGGCATGGCTAGTGTTCCCATCGTCGGTATGAAAAAATGGAGCTTTCAAGAAGCCGTGATGAAATCGTTGTCACTCTTCTCTTCTTCCCTGTGCCACTGGATGTTTCTTAATATGGTAGGTTTCGAGGCAATTCTAGCATTCTTTGAACTTCTAGACACGTGGACAACGCACGCTGACTTCACGATGCCTTTCGGCTTGCGATGTGACACTCACTGGCGTAGGCCTTCAGCAGCCCCTGCAGGTTCAATCTTTCGAATCGAATCGAATATGGATGAAAATTCGGACTGTTGTAATATGTGTCATCCACCGAATCCATCGAATATGTTCCACACAAAGAGGCGTTTCAAGAGAGCTCAATCAAATGCGAGAAACATTTGGAAAGACGATGAAAGACCCCTAAAGCAAATGGATGTCACAAAATGGCGAAGGAAAAATTACATTTACTGAAATGAATTGCATACATGAATGGCGATGCGCGTTGAGTTCTCAAGCGGCACCGAGTCGGCCAACAAGCCCTGCAGCCCACTGAGAGCACCTGGCTTACTTTGCCATTGCAATGCAAAATGTCAGAAAAAAACATGAAAAACAGTCCAAACTGTTGAAAAATCCTCTCCCAGATGTTCAGTACATGCTTTTTGGAGAGGACATGTTCTTGTGCCATTCATCATATTGATGTGTTGTCCGCATACATGCACAACTCAGCCAGCAATATAATTTCGAAAGAGGTTGGGCAAAATCTACTACAATGCTGTGCTACGCGGCACCTTGATGTTGCATATGAAGATTTCTGTTTGTGCTTTTTGTGCAAGTGTGGCAAATTTTCATTTTCCAGGTTTTTCTCAGGAGGAATGAGAGCATAGCTAGGGTCCCAATACATCAGTTCAAAGCTGGCAATTACCCAACATGTGCAACAAACTCGAAACTGCTTTGTTTTCGCACGAAAGGAGCGGCAATGCCGCATCTTTCAGAATTGATAAACTCAAATGAGACCAATTTGTTGCTAAATATTCCATTGCTGCAGCATTTCCAGTATAGGAAAAACACAGCTCGGTGGCTTTGATCGTCACTTTGGACGGAGTCTTGAAAGCTACAGCTGGTCAAATGTGTGTTCCGCGTGGTCTGCCTGGTCTTCGCATATTGCAAGATCAAATCAATGAATTGGATAAATTACACAGAATGAATCAAACTGGTACTCTACGGTCCTATTTTGGACATCCCCTGGGACTTAGCCTGAACATTGAGAAGACTTCAATTGACTTCAATTGATGTCAATTCAATTGAGGACAACACATGCCAACAGTAGATCTTGCATCTCGGACACCACTTGACCAAAGCATAATGGCCGATGCTAGAGCCTCTGACTTGCAGCTCTCGCCAAACTCTGCGAGTAGGTAAACAGAAAAACTGAACAAACCTTTCTTATTCATTTGGAGCAGAAACTGGGCAAACTAGGAGCAAACCAAATGCAATTCCTCTTGTTGGAGAAAAACCAACAAAGTTTTTGCACGCATTCAATGCTATGCCGGGTTGCAAATACAGCAGAGGAAGGTTGCTGAGTCAGTTTTTGACAAGTTGGGGTTCCTGACAATGGCTCCTGACTCCATCTATAATCTGTTGTGCAAATAGTGGCTTGTAGACATGGTCCTCCCCTTCAAATTCCTTACAATGGTATACAATGGTTATAAGTTATAAGCTTTTAGCTTGATCCCTGAATGGATGTCTGTCCTCTCGCATACATACTAAACGTCGATAGTGCTGGCGGTTGCTCATATCTTTTGCTCTTCGCACTTCCATCTTTCTCATCAATAGACAACACAAACGGTAGGCACTGCCAAATCACTGCAACGAGGTTGATCCGCAGATGGCCCGAAGCATCTCAAAGGTATGGAAGACTGCTGAACTGCTGAGACTGTGTGCGACTGTGCACAGTATGACATCTTTGGGGCAATTTTGCTCAATGCCGCTCGTCTGATCTCTCTGTCTTCAAATGCGAAGAAACAGAGGCCAATCTCGCACGTCAATATGCTCCTGGAGCATGCAAGAGAAATCTAAAGGTTGTGTCCAAAACGTGCTCAATCACTTTGTAATGGTTTCCCAGTGGATCTGAACGAAAGAATTGGTTCAAGAGGCAGTCTTGCAGCTGAATGTGAATCACAACTTGGTGGCTTGGTGGTGGTGTATGATCTGAAGCAAAGCACCCTACTGAAACTCAAACTGAGCTACAGGAGAGGAGGCAAATATAGACAGAAAATCAGCATCAAAGCAGTGCTAATAGACAAACTGGGTCAAGGGAATGTGCACTCTCTCATGAAGTGCAATGTTAACAGTGAGAAAACTCTCCAAGTTCGCAATGTTCATAGCCGGCTAGCGGAGTACACATTGCTTTCTTGACCTAGCTTTGGCAAGTGGCGCTTTCTGTTTTTGTGCTTTGTCTTCCTGATCATGCACATTGTATACCTTTCCCACATCCACTTGTGCAGGGTGCACTGGTGCACCATGCCTTGTCATGCGTTGTCTATGTTGCCTAAGCCGTCACTACAGTTGCCTAAGTCCCAATCTCTTTGCATCCTTTTTTCTTACTGTCACAGGTTTCACAGTTTAATCAGGTCTCATCTTTTTTCCAAGGCGTCTATATGTTTCGACTTCAGCTGGGGTGTGTCTCGTATCTGTTTCGCAGACGTCTTCTCTTTCCAAGCCGCCTCAGAAGAGGAAGTATTTCCGCGCCAGAGGCACGGAGTCCACTGGCCTGAGTCTAACGAAAGTTTAAAACAACATGCAACAAGGTCAACAAGGACAACAAGGTCAACAAGGTCAACAAGGACTTGGAATCTATACAGTCCTGCTGGCATCATCTAACTATACTGAAACACACTGAAGGATGCTGAAACCTGAAACTGTGCACTATGTTTCATGCCATGCCCCTTTCCAGCTCATGAACTTCAGAATTCTACTGATTCGGAAGACATTTAAAATAGAAGAACTTCCACCCGACACTGAGGCTTGAACTCACACGTCAGCTTCTCACCGTCTGCGGTGACTTCGAACGTCTCTGGGTTCACACCTAAGTTCTACCAGAGTACAGGAGGTTCAAAGTCAAGTCTCTTTGTTTCTACGGCTTCTATTATTGTTGTGCCTAGGACCTAGGGGCTGCCAGTTCTTGCATCAGCCTTCTGAAATTCCACGGAACCTACTTTTCGATCAACTTACTTTGCTTGTCATTCAGTGTCACAAGAAGTTGGCCCTTGAGAGGGGAGCTGATTTCTGGTGTTGCATCATTCAAGATCATGTCCTAGCGGCTGTGAAGTTCGTCAGCCACGACTCCAAAGCAGACACGCAAACACGAAAGAACACCCAAATAGTCGGTTAGCACTCCGAGAATCTCGCAGGCTACACATCGAATCCATGAAATGCATCTCCCAAGAGTTTCTTTCGCCATTTGGCATCCAGCCATTGCACAGTGCATCACAGTACCATACTTTGCTTCTCATGGTGCAATCAGTATTCCAGTCCTTTTTCTGCACTGATCGAGTTCCTTTCACTGCCTCAATCTGCTTCTGGAGACCATACTCAAGGACAGATGGCTCCTGGCTAGCGGTCAAAATGATCAATCAAAGGCCTGCACTCTCATCGGACAAAAGCAATAGTCACTTCACGGCACCCACAACACATGGAGGGCAAGAAACAGGAAAACAAATCTCGGCATCTTACCGAAAGCAGAGCCACCCTTGGACCTAAAAATGTCTATATAGATATGTCTAGATATGTCTAGATATTCACAATGTTCACGAGCACATGCAAGCGCAGCTGGCCTGCGCAGCATCCTTGGAGACGAAGCTCATGCAAGTAGATCCTTGTCACATCCGTCATGACTCCGCATTTGAAACTTCCGTGCGTCGAAAGTGTCCTCTCTAACAAACAGGGTCTCTGATTGTGATATGCAGCATATGCAGCATATGCTTATGGTTCCCTCAATGAAAAAACTTGTGGCTCTCGCGTCCTCTCACTGGCCAAGTCCCCTGCCTACTGCTTTCCCGAAGCTGCCAAACATAGGTCGCATCAGCACAGGCTGTGGCCTCAGAAAGGTTGTTAAGTTATGATGTAATAAAACATGATGAAACATGACGAAACACCAAGAACATCGAAGAGACAAAACTTGCAGATGTAAAAAAAACATCTGGTGGTTTCAAATCTAAACGGATCCAAACAGCAATCAGTTACCATAGAATGCTCGTAGACATGGAATGCAGGCAGCTTCTGTTAAATTCCGCGGGCCTGACCTGACAGCGCGTCTTGCGGATGGTGCTTGTATGACTTGTCCATCAGTTTCGCTTACTTACCATTACTTACCCGAGTTTCCTTTACTGAACTTATCTTTCCCCTTCCTTTCCTCTTCCTCTTCTGTTCCTCTCTTCTTCCTTTCCTTCTCATCCTCCTTTCCTCTTCCCCTTCCTCCTCTTCATTCCTCTTACCTTTTCTTCCCTCGTCGTGTTATACACCTAAACAAGCTTCTACACTTACCTGCCTTTAAACAAGCCGGTTTTCTTAATCAGTTTTTACACCAACTAGTTTTTACATCTTTTTTACACACTCAGCAGGGCTACCGGCCCCAAGCGAGACAGCCGACGTGTTTGCGGAAGGTGAGTTACATATGTGCCATGGTCAAAACATGGGATATGGGGTGTCGTCATTCATCATCTTATCCTTATAATGGGAATCCTCTTGATATATGTGTATGTATATATATATATGTGTGCGTGTTGTAAATCCTAATTGATGGATTGATTACCCTCCTCCCATGCGGGCAATTTGCCAAGTTTTGACCAGGGCACATACGCGTGCATGCCGAGCTGGGAACTCTGTTTTTGCGACAAACACGATTGAGTGGAGGAAGCAATCAGGAGGTAATCACAGATTTGAAAGCAATCGGGCCACAATCAAGGCATACACAGAAGGCACCACAGCAGAGATCAATAGCCAATGGACCATATCACAGGAGAACTCACATGCAACATAGATTGATAACCATAGGTCAACAGGATTCCATACAAACACTTGGAGAAGAGAGGGCGCAAAGGCAAGCTCCACAGCCCAACTAGGCAAGGCAAAATGTTTGCAGGCAGCTTTAGAAGCACAGAGAAGCCATCAACACAGAAAAGGAAAGGGATGGAAAGGATGGTATGACAGTCTTTGACAGCAAACTGTTGCAGGTACAGCTTTCCACTGCAGTATACAGCGCGCTTCTGCGCAGATTTGCACAAAACCGTCTGAGTTCCACGGCGTGGGGATTGATGCGTTGGGGTCACCCATCTGTGCCCAGGCAATGGTACCACCCTTAATGACCTGGGCCCAAGCTTGGACACCAGATGCCAAGACGGCCAAGACAGAATGTGAGACATGTGAGGCCCCGGCCATTTCCGGTTTGGAGCCAAAGAACGCAGGATTCCACAGGCAAATGTCGGCTAATTTGCCCACCTTCCGTTTGGGCTCACTATGGCTCAGTTCACGTTGTTTGAATAGGTACCAAAAACGCACCTCCAGGCTGCCAATGGCATGTGCCATGCCATGGGCAAGAGCTGGATTGATGGTATACTTGGCAATGTACCTAGCAACGAAGATTAGAAACAACCCCACCGTAAGCTCCACAAAGTTAGACATCCATAAGAAGAGCTACTTCCACTAAGTTAAAAACTGTTGATCAACTTTGATCAGCTTTCAAAGTGGACACAGTGTCAAAAAATTGTGCAAGGTGTCGTTGTAGAATCTACTCAGCTGCTGCTGTGCCTCTTGATGCGAGTGTTGTCATTGTCAGTATCTTCTGGCAGACTCCCTCGTTGTGACTTCATCCTGATCAAGCTCTGCGAGGTAAACATTCGCTGTCTGTCCGTCCGTCGGTCCGTCCATCCGTCCATCTCTCCGTTATATCGCATGTGTTGGTAAGCAAAACATGCAATGAATATTTCTACAGGGTATCAATACTACGCAATACCTTCCTCAAAGTAGTTTTGGTCAAAGTAGTTTTTATATAGGATGGTTGAGTTGAATCCTAAAGTCTCTATATTGGGCTCTGAGAACTTTTCGCGCCTTTGACATCAATGCAAGGCAAAAAACTTAAGCGACATATTGTGAAATGGTGTTCATTTGCAATGGCATATGTGAGCCCATATTGGTGGCACTGAACTCGGGCGTTTAACATTGTACATGTGCTGATGTACAATGACATATTACGTGTATGGCATGTTTTAATGTATAGATGAAGTACATGTCATGTAATACTGCATCGGGCATGTACTGTAGATGTCTCATACCGATAGTACATATGATATGTACTGACTGTACCTTGTGTATTATTTTCTGGTCAGCATTCGAGATCCCAACGGAGAAATGATAAAACTACTGTGTGCAATTCAGCACTCCAACGTGTGGGTATAATTCATAGGATGCATTTGTTTATGTACATATTATATGCACATATATGCACTATATTGTTATATATAGTTTGACAAATCAAATCGCAAATCGCATTGCCCTGACAAGTATGAATAATTTGACACGCATCTGCTCTCTCCCAGCTCTCTGAACACCGTATCCTCCTGTATAATTTCCAACGAAATGCGCCAGAGGTTCTTTGCTGCGGTTTGCCATGTGCGACAAATGACTTCGCCCACACGGCCCATAGCCTACACAGCTCAAGACTTCTACAAGACTTCTGAGAATTGGAAGCTTGCGTTCTCAACTGGACATCGTTGCGGTCACTGCACACATACTGTACTTGCTGTACGTGCTCACCTGACTCACCTAAGGACTTCTGATCTCTTGTGCAAACTGACTGCAAGCATCTCAAGAATTCTCGCGCTTTTGCTTCACCCAAAATGCAGATCTGGAAGCAAATAAGAATCACGTCCAGTCCGCATTTCTTTTGAATGCGCAGAGTCTTGGATCATGTAGTTTCAGCACTGCTTTCGAGTTCTTCGCGAAACTCTTCAAACACTCTTCATCTCGGAGATTCATCTCGTTTTCTTCAGATGGGAAGAGTAGACCGGGTAAGAGGGAAGTGCTGCTGGCAGTCTGCCGCCCCATCTTGGCGCGCATCGCTCACCACACAGGGACTCACTTTCGCGGGACGATGACACTTCCAGCTTTCTTGGAGGTGTATCTACAAATCAAAGTGGCGCCACCGAACCTGAGGAACCATATCAAGATCATAGTCAGAGTTGGTTTGAGCAAATGATATGCCTGAACCAGAATAACCTTACATCAGGAATGATGCAAGAAATCCTTGAATTGGCTACATGGACTACATGGATGTGTTCATATGTGTCGCCAAAAAGCCAGCAGCTTGAAGAGGAAGTATCTCTGAATCATACCTTAGATTCGGGACTCGAGTTCCTAAACTTGGATGATCTCAGCGTCTTAGCTTTCATCTGATATCAAGCAAATAATCTAGCCACGATTTGCCAAGTGTAGAGCATGTGCAATGGATGTCAACACTAGTTTGAATTGGTTGTATTCGTTGCACGTTCTGTGATCTTGACAGCGAGGGGAAGGGAAGCAATCACAAGTTCGGAAGGGCTCATCCGACTCATGTTTTCGTCTTTGGATGTATTGAGCACAAGATGCAATTTCATCTCCTCGTAGTCCTTGACACAGTCCTTGGCATAGTTTTTCTGGTTGTTCTCGTCCTTCTTTGGATCTGTCACATGTCGCAGCCAGTTCACTAGATGCACCTCAATGAAGCGGCAATAAAGGCCAGCAAAAAGCCAGAGCCAAAAGACAAAGATCACAAAGCCGCACCTGAGCAAAAATCATCAACAGAGCCGGCTTGCTGTCCAAAAAGCATTTAGACATGTTCAATTGATTCACGGTTGACCCACTGTGAATCTGCAGTGTGGGAGGGGAAGATTTACATGAATCCTTTCTTGGCATTTTGTTTGGTGCACATTGCAGAATATTTTGACAGGAAGAAGGCTACATCCGTCTATCCATACTTGCACAACTCTGCTTTGAATGAGTTAGCCCAACATCTAATGCCTCCGTGCAATTTGACCCCAACTCAAACCTGCTGGTGAAAGTGTTGCTCGGACCAGCCAAAACCAAGAAAAATACAAAAAGCAAGTGTGAGACAGTTGCGATGTAATTGGACCACGACCCCTAGTCGGCCGTGTCCTTTTCTGCCTTTTTTGATCTTGTTCATGTTTTCATGTAAACTTCCAGACTTGTCACATGCTATGCTAGTGGCCTTTACTTGTGTGCGTGCTCTGCTACGTTACTTATCTCTTCTTGGGGTGGGGTGGGGTGGAGTAGGGTGGGATGTTAACGTTCATAGACACGTCCACACTTGTCACATGCTATGCTAGTGGCCTTTACTTGTGTGTGTGTGCTCTGCTACGTTACTTATCTCTTCTTGGGGTGGGGTGGGGTGGGGTAGGGTGGGATGTTAACGTTCATAGACACGTCCACACTTGTCACATGCTATGCTACGCTGCATGCCCTTTCCTTCATTCTACATAATCAAAGGAAGTTTAGAAGTCAAACTTCCGACAATATTGGCAGATGAAAAGCAGAGATGGAAAGGGTCAGAGGGAAGAGGAGAGTAAAGCGAGAAGATCAGAGAAGAGAAAGAGTCAGAAGAAAGAAGATGCAGATGCGCGAAAAGGTAGGAAAGTCGCGAAACACTGTTTTTCAATGATTTGTGGCTCCGGAGGGTCGAAAAGTAGGCTCGCTAAAGCGGCGGGTGCGGAGCCATCTGGCCAGATGAGAGATGAAAAATTGCCCGCCGTTGTGGCGCGAAGCACATTTCGAAGTCAAAATGTACAAAACACACAATTGTCGGACCACTTTTGGAAGTTGAGATGTCGAAAAAGTGCACGCCGTTGTGGCGTGAAGCACATTTCGAAGTCAAAATGTTAAAAACACCAGGGGTTCAGACCACTTTTGGACGTTGAGATGTCGTTCCGCGTGGCAGGTGCAAGGGATTGTGGATCTTGTCAAAAGTGGGCAAAACGTGAGGGTTTTGTAGCATTTTCAACTACAACCACCACTACACCACACTACACTCCAATACACTACACTACAACTACAACTACACCTTCACTACATTACACTACACTACACTCCACTACACTACATTCAACTACATTCAATTACTCTCAATTACACTACACTACACTACACTACACTACACTACACTGCACTTTGCTACACTGCACTACACTACACTACACTACATTCCACTACGCTACATTACAATACATTACACTCCACTACACTCCACTACACTACATTACACTACACTACACTACATTCCACTACACTACACTACATTACACTACACTACACTCCACTACGTTACACTACAACTACACTACACTACAACTACACTACAACTACACTACACTACATTACACTACACTACATTCCATTACACTCCACTACACTACACTCAATTGCACTACATTACGCTACACTACACTACACTAACTAGAACTACAACTACAAGCTACAACAACAACAACAACAACAACGACGACGACGACAACAACAACAACAACAATAACAACAATACTACATTTACACTACGCTACACTACACTACACTAATTACACTACACTACACTACACTCCACTACACTACACTCAATTACACTACACTACACCTACAACTACAACTGCAACTGCAACTGCAACTACAACAATACTACATTTACACGACGCTACACTACACTGCACTAATTACACTACACTACGCTACACTACACTCCACTACTACACTACACTCAATTACACTACACTACACCTACAACTACAACTGCAACTGCAACTGCAACTACAACAATACTACATTTACACGACGCTACACTACACTGCACTAATTACACTACGCTACGCTACACTACACTCCACTACTACACTACACTGAATAACACTGCACTACACCTACACTGCAACTGCAACTACACTAATGACATTACACTACACTATATTACACTACGTCACACTAACTACAACTACAACTATATAAGACTACACTACACTACACTACAATAATTACACCACACTGCACTACACGACAGAGAGAGAGAGAGAGAGATAGATGGATGCATAGATAGATAGGTGGGTAGGTAGGTAGATGGTCAGAGAAAGAGGCAGAAAGAGAGAGAAAGAGAAGAGACCTCAACCACCTTTCGGTCCATCAGTGGCTTCGCTCTGCCATCCGCGATTCACAACAACCAACCTCTCCTAGAGGTTTCCTATTTTTGAAACTTCCGCCACCGCCTTGCGCGGTACTACTGGTATGTGAAAAGGCCTATTCATTCTCTTGTACGTTCGGGCGAAGGTGGCGATAGCTGCTGGGGCCATGTAAACCAAGCGCATTCTTGGCACAGTTGTGCAAAGCCAAACAAGTCCGCTGAGTCGAGGTCATGGAAGAAAAAAATGAAAGTGTCACGCAGATGATGTGCCCGAAAAAAGTAGACAACGAAGATATCAAAATCGATACGGCGCCACAGCGCCACGAGCATTTTCAAGGCAGAATGCAGTTTGTGCCACAGCTGTCTGAGGGTCGTGCACCATGTAGTTACTTACAGTTCTTACAGTTCTTACAGTTCTTACAGTTCTTACAGTTCTTACAGTTGCATGCACGGCACGAATTGTTATTGTAGGCACCCGTCGGATTGCGCATGCTAAAGGCTCCAGAGATGTCACCAGCTGCCACGAAGAGCTCGTGTATGGGGTATTGGAACAAGTAGACCTGGCCGATAGGCAAACAAAATGCCTAAAATTGCCATATTCTCCCGTGACTTTGGAAAACATGCGCTGGTTTGCGACCTGAATTCCACAATCCCTATTCAACGCAGCCTATGCTCTTCGGTGAAACATGAAGGCAACGCCGGATTAGCGAATAACATCCAGTAATCCCAGTGATCCCAGTGTTCCAGCGACATCGGTAACAATCCAGTGTATTATGTGTATTCAACTTGTATTCAACGTGTATTCTACTTGTATTCAACTTGTATTCACGTATTTTCACGTATTGTTCCTATTCTTCCTCAGTTTTAAATCTGAGTGAGTCACGGGCTTTGACAGTCCAAGAAACTCAAAGACGCAGGACAAAACAAGTGATTATAGAAAGGGGTGCAGAAAGGACACAAAAGTAGCAGCGGTTTTTGCACGGCGCATAGCTGTGCACAGCTGTGGCCTCAAAGCTGAATTCGCCCAAGGCCACCAGAGCTTCATGCCGCAGCAGCCGCACTACTAGGCTTTGGCACCCAGCTGGAGCTGGAGCTGCAGATGCCAAGAAGGCAGCGAATAGAGGTCCCAGGGCGTGGCCAAAGAATGGCTCCCAGCCCTGGTCCGACATATCCGACATGTCGAACAAAGTGTGCAGAAACCAAGATAGATCAAGATAGGTTGACGTTGATTGAATGACATTGAATTACATTTCAAGCACAGAATTGTGATAGGTTGTGATATAAGACTCATTTGACAGGAAACAATAGGCCTCCCGAGCACCAGACGACGGCACAAGGAAGCAGCACAGTCCAACTAGCAGCATGCAGCCATCCGCCAACTTGCCAGATCCATTGCCTGTGATTTGCGTGAACACTGTCCCACTTGGTTTGCATCATGTTCCTCGAATTGTTTATACAATTATTCCACAACAAAATCTATGACCCCAACATGCTAGTCTTTGCTCTCATTGTAGTCTGCACTACAACTCCCATGGCCGTTGTAGGAATTTAAGAAGTTGAGCATTTTCAAAAGATGTGATCTGGTTGTGAATTGATATTGGAATTGAGGATTGAGGTTTCTGATGTCAGCATCTTCATGGGCGAACAAGCTCACCTCCGCGAGCAATGTCAGCTGCAACTGCGCCCAAAGCAAAGTCTGCAATTTGGGAAGGCGGCCAAATGTAGCCTGACAAAAAGGCGGGAGCAAAGTAAGACAACATGATCCTATCACCATGACTCGGACGCAAAATGAAGGCAAGCAACTCCAAATGCCCTGCGTGTTGGTGAGCCAAAACCTTGGTCCAAGTGTCAAAAAAAGCCTACCACGCATCCGACACAAATTGAGGACAGAAACGACAAGAAGAAAGGGGGTGTGGATTTCTGCCGCGTGTTTCGCGATGTAGTTTCCCAGTGGCAAATGATAAACAAGAAGACTCAACAAACACAAAAATAGAACTCGGGACAAGAGAGCACAAAGTGCCGGGATCATATACGTTTGGCAGAAATTCATAAGAACTGGAACTGGGTGAAGAAAATGCATACTAGATAACAGAATTATATATTATATATATAACAATATGTAACAGAAGAAATGAAGGAATGACAAAGCAAGCATAGGGACAAGACAAAGAGCCCGCAGGGAAGCGAAGGACGCGTGTTTGGGGGGGGGAAGAACACAGCCATAAGGACAATGGCAACGCCACTCAATCACCCCAAAGTTTTATCATGGTTTACAGCTACCAGTACTTGTCGTTGCAGGGCCCCATGTTTTAAAACCACGGAAACATTGGGAAGCCTTGCCTGCATTTCCATCGACTCAACTCCAAACAAAAGTGGTTGCTTTGTGTTTGTTTGAAATTTATATACTTATATACTTATATACTTATATACTTATATACTTATATATTTATATACTTATATACTTATATACTTATATATTATATACTTATATACTTATATACTTATATACTTATATACTTATATACTTATATATTTATATACTTATATAACATACATTTAATAATTATATGTATATATATGTTATATATATATGATATGTATATGTGAACGGAGAATATGCAACTCGCTATTTTAGCAGCGGTGTTCTTGAGCCAAAGGTTGGCGTAGCAACTAGTGAGAACCCTATATCCCGTCACCCCTCCTGTACAGAGGCTGGGATTTTCCTAAGCTGATGTACACTCATTCCAAAGCCTTTGCAGCTTCGGCTCTACCATGAGAGTACTCGAACCCCATGCTTTGCATGTGTCTTTCCATCTCATTCGCAGGTAAACCTTTGGTGCACAAATCAGCTACGTTCTGCTTTGTCGGGATCTTCACCAGTTCGAATTCATGTAGTGCAAGCTTTTCTTGCACCCACAGCACCCACAGAAAGCGAGTTTGAACATGCCGTGAGCGGCCTAAGCCCTGACGGTTACATGTTCCCAGCGCAGCGGATGAATCTGTGTGCACTTTAAGTTTTGGTTGTAGGCCCCATCCTCGCAAGATCTCCTGTAGCGACATTCCGATGGAAACTCCTCGAACGATCGAGTAGTATTCCGCTTCACCGGAACTCAAGCTGATCGTGCTCTGAAGAGTGCTCGAGGCCTTCACCGTGTGGCGGCCAAAGGTTGCCACAAGTCCACTTGTTGAGCGCCTTGTAAGAAGACACCCAGCGAAGTCGGAGTCCACGTACATGTGGATCGTGTCAGCAAACTTCTGGCGACCAAACTTCAAAAGTACACGTGGTTTCCCTTTCAGAAATCTCACCAAGCGTTTCAGATCCTGAAAGTCAGATTCTTTGGGCTCATGCATTCTTCTTGATAGGCATTTCACTGCCTCCGCGATGTCAGGTCTGTCCTGTGCCACATACGACGCTCTCATCACCAGAGACCGGAAGAAACTTACACGGTCCGGTGTGATGGTCGGGGTGGTCAACTTCAAGTTGGCCTCCGTGGCTGACATTTTCTCAGATGGTGTCTTGACTGGCTTACAGTTTTCCATTTCTAGATCTCGTACCATCTGGTCAACGTGGCGGGGATCCGCCTCATAGGATACAGAGCCTTCCTGCTCGTTGTAGGTCACGATTCGATTGAGCACTGCGAACTGCTGATGCCGTTCTCCAGGACCGATCGATCCATCGACCCGCAGATCATATTTGGACCTCAAGGTGTCCTCAAGGTATTTCTGTCCAGCATCATCAAGCACCACGAAGTCATCTCCGTGTACAAGAACTCGAATACCACCGTAACCTTCATGGTAAAAGCAGGATGGCCAAGCTTGATTCTTGGCAAAACCAGCTCGGATGAGAAGTTCTGTATATGATCTTTGCCAGATCGCTGATGCATCGCGTGTTCCATACATGCTCTTAACGAGCTTGCCACAAAACCCTTCTTGTTGATCTCCTTCAGGTAACTGCACGAAGATATCACGCTCTGCCTCTCCATAGAAGTGAGCGCGTGATATGTCAAGAAGACGAACTTTCAGTGCATTGCCAGACTTGGATCGTCTCAAAGTCACCATAAGCGATAGAAGCAATTTCAGCGATTCCAAAGGCGGCATCGAACTGAAGGACGCATAGTCCGGAATGAAGTCAGCATTGCTGGCCCGTTTGATCTCTCTACAGACCAGACGTGACCTGTAGTTGGGGTGTGTTGCATCCCCTTTGTTTCTGTCAATCCATTTCATGGTGATGACCGGTTTTCCAGACTGTTGGGCTTCTGTGAGTGGAACTTTGATATAGATACCCTGTTTGTGTACCCATGCTAGTTCTTCTTGTCGAGCAGCTCTGACCTTGTCAACATCCAAGACAGCACCGGAGTGTGCGTCAAGCACTGGCTCCACGATGGTGTCATCGCTGTCGGGCAGCTGCTTCCAAAACTCCTCCTCTTCATTGATCACAGGTCCAGCATCGGGTACTGGGCCATGTGAAAGTGAGTGTAGTTCTCCATCACATTCCAGTTGGCGCCTAATGGCCTTGAGAATTGCGTGGACAAGCTTTGGTGGGTATTTCTGGGCAGCTCGGGCTCGTCCATCAACAAGATGTACATGGCGGTGCCAAACTTTGCCTTCTTTGTTTGAACAGCACCCTTGTAGGGGCTGTGCCAGGATTGGAGAGTTCGTGAGCCAGGTAGTTTCTTTCTTCACTGACCCTTCACCTTGGCCATCGGCGGCCTTCATTCCCCCACGGCACATTGGTCCAGTGACCTCATACACCCGTTCATCTGCCCTCAGTCTCTTCACAGCTCTCTCTTCCCACGAAGCGGCCCCTTTAGGGTGCTCATGGTAGAAGTACCTTCCAGCATTCATTTGATGCTCATACGCTGAAACTGCCGTGCGCAGATGTTTGCGACCATCTTTTAGTCTCTGCGCTCGAACTTCAGGTGAAACATTGCCCTTCGCATCCACAATGCTTTGCAGCTTCGAGAATGGCCCACAGGGAGGTGAGCCGCCGAGGAACTCTGGTTTCTCATAGTCAAGCAGTTGAAACAGATCACGAATGTGTTCATCTTTACTCAAGTCCCAGTGAGTTCCATCACCACGCTTTGTCTCCAAGTCAATCGAGAAGCCAGGTGCTAGCCCGACCACTTGGGCTTGTGCAGCCACACGCGGTGGAGAGAAGATCTCAGCAACCTTCCCTTTTGCGATCACATCTTTGAGCAAGGAACACAGATGTAGCATCTCCTGGTTTGTCTCAGGACTTGTTGGTGCAGCGGCAGCACCTTCCGGAACACCAGATGAAGCATCCGGTGCCGGTGGTCCGGCTGACCCTGAAGCCTGAGCTGAAGATTCATCGTCAAGATCTTCAACGTCGACTTGTGAACTCCTTTTCTCTCCTCGGGATTGTTCTTGTTTCTGCCTCTTTGGGCTTCCTTCTCTTTCTTGTTCTCTCTGTCTGAGTTCTCCACGAAAATCGGTGTCGACCAGTGGTTCACCAACAGCCTCACTTGCATCCATTTCCGCATCCAAAGGAACACGGTCTTGCAAGACTGGTTGTTCAACTTCCCCTCCTGGGACAACTGGTGGTGCAGCTTCACCACCTTCTGCCCCACCACCCTCAGGCGGTGCAGCCGCGCCTCTTGGGCGCCTGCCTTGTGCAACTCTCTCTCTCGCTCTTTTGATCCTTTCTTGACCTTCTGGAGTCTTGTCAAGTTCGATCTGGATTCTTTGTCTGCACTCAGCATTGTGAGCTCGGCTTGGCATCTCAAGTATTGCTGCTTCACATCCAGGACACAAAGGTGTGTGCCCATGCTTTTCCAAGTCATTCTTGGTGACATAGAGGTTCCTTGGGATCACTTCTTGCACTGCAGGCCTTTCACGAGGCGCTGCAACATCGGGAAGGGCGATCCTCAGTCCACCATGTTCTCGTTCTTGCAACCTCCAAGGAAGGCCACGTAGCGAGTCAAACTGATCATGTTTGAACTGATCGTCAGGTGGGTGTCGATGGATCGAGTTCCCCTTCATGATTCCACGTTCCGTCATGACAAAGACGTCTGAATTTCTGTTTCCAGTTCCAACGTACATCCCAATGGATACCCTTGGAGCAAGGTCATTTCTCTTGCCCCCACGATTGGCCCTCGGCCTATACAGGATGCTTTCACCGAACCTCACAAGCGGAATCCGCCATTTTCGTCCATAGGTCCGCTCAAAAGCGGTCTTTCCATCAGTACCTACTCGGTATCTCGTCAAGAGAAAGGCAGCATGCCGCGGGAGCCAAACCAAAAGTGGATGGCCCGGATCTACCTTCCTTTCCAGCTTGAACTCCAGGTCGCTGAGGAGAGCACGACATTGTCGTTTTATCTCTCGCACTCCCACTTCGATAAACCCATTGGCTTGATGGTCTTCTACTGGGGTTTCCACCAAGTGCACTTCGATGTGGGTCTTTATCTCCTTAACCTTCTGTTTAAGGGATACCAAGGAGGGTTCACCGTCAGACTTAAGGATTACCTTATTAAAACCAGCATCATCCAAAACTCCCCCAAGCCACGCGATTGCGAACGCATCCGCCCCTTTTCCCGGGAGAACGCTCGCCCAAAATCTCTTGGTCTTGTGGCACTTCACCACAATGCTCGGAAGGGTCGCCTCATCCGCAACCTGGTCCTGGTTCATATAGAAGTAGTCCAGGCTCAGTGTGGGCAACTGCGTTTCTGGCTCATCAAGTTCCTTAGGCACATGGCGATCAGCAGTCACACGTGCCCTTTTGCAGTGCAAGCACCAGCTCCGATGGACAACATGTCCAGTGCTTTCATGTTCGTCAACTTCAGCTTGGGATGGTTGATGTGGTTCTTTCTTCACAATGGCTTTCCTCTGTTCTTCACCGATTTCCAAATCAACTTCATCTTCAAAGGCATCTGCTCCGGCTGAAGCAGCTGGAACATCGCCTGAGGACCCTGCTCCGGCCGAAGCGGCTGAAACATCGCCTCCATCTTCCATGGCATCGGCTCCGGCTGAAACAGCTGGATCCTCACCAACAGCGTTGATTTGTGGTCTTACTCCTCTTGAGGATGCCCCTGAAAAGGTGACACCCAATAGTCCAACACATAGATGCCTCGGCGATTGTGCACAATGGGCATTGAATCGCCATAATCTCGGATCAGATCTTTCATGGCCTTCGAATAGGCCCGTCCCGCAGGAGTGTTTCTTGGGATCAATCTCCCCGAAGATGGTCCAAGGGCGATGTGGTAGTTCTTGGCGATCTCGGAACCTGAAAGAAGTGGCCGATGCACATCTGCAACTCGGCAATCGATTGGGATCTTGTTGCCAGATTCGTCGTATCCCACCAGCTTCACACTTCCCTGATCTTCGATGGGTTCCGCATTGGCTGCCTTGTAGCTTGCTCCATTGGACTCGCTCCTCGGGTAGTCCTTGGCGAAGTCAAGTGGTACTGCAGTGATGGCAGCACCGGTGTCGATGTTCAACTCTGCTCGTTCCCATTTTCGCCAGTCGTCAGAGGCCCCCAAGCTGTAGACTGCAGCAGGAGCCGATCCAGCTCCACCATCGGGGTCTCCTCTGCCTGGTCGGTCTCGAGGCTCATCAGGCTCTTCGATGTAGACCTCTTCCATTTCATCATCATCTTCATCTGCGTTCACTTCAGTGTTTTCCTTCAGAACCAAGGCTGGTCGGTTCTTCCTCGCCATCTTGCGCGCCACATTGCGGTTGCGATTCTTCTTCACCCTGTACCCAACGCTTCGAACACGCTTGGTCATGGGTTTCTTCTTGGGGTCCTTCTGCAGCAACTTGGCCTCGTCGTCCGGGAACTGCCTCAAGGTTTTCCGCTCTTCCGCTGAAAACTCTATCACTGTGCTCTGACCAGCTTTGCCCACAACCACCGTCTCGATGCCCGCATCCAAGTTGTCTTCATCCTCGATTCTCACTATGCCTTCTGGATTTTCTGGGTTGTCAAAGCGTTCATGCCATTCTTTGTCAAGTCGAATCCTTTCAGCCGCACGTGCCTTGACTCCTCCTCGTCGGTGGACGATTGCACGTCTTCTCAAACGTTCATTTCTCCAGGCCACATTGTGTGCAACACCTTTGGCAATCTCGGCATGGTATCTCGAGTCGTGGAAAGAAGGATCGCTGATGTTCTGCTTTGTGATGTGCGGTGCCTTGACAGATCTAGTCCTCAAAGCCGCTAACATCGCATCTGCCTGGCCATCTCCTGAACCAGGATCTTCTTCTTGGACTTTGCGGATTTGTGAACTCAGCGCAGCCTTCAGCATCTGGACAAGTCGAGAACCTGAAGTCGAAGCTGCCGATGATGCCTTGACAGGTGGTGGTGGCTTCACCTGAGAGCTTTGCCATCCCGGTGGTGGACATGGCGGAGTCTTGGGTGAAGCTACTTGGCTTTGCCATCCTGGTGGTGGTCCTGGTGGAGTCTTGGGCGAGGCTATCGGCTGTTGTGGAGGTGATGCAGGCCATGCTATAGGTGTCGGTGGTGTCTTTGGCAAAGGTGTAGAGCTACGAAGAAGTTCTTCTGGAGTCTGTGGCCCATGCCTCAACCTTCTCCTTGGTGGTGGTGTCATCGAAGTCATTCGAAAGCGTCGGAGTGCTGACTCCGGAGTGACTGGCCCTGATCTGCTTGCTTTGCCTCTCTTTGGTGTTGAGCTCTTTGGACTTCTGCCCCTCTTGGGTCTTCCCTGTGGCGTTCGAGGTGCCTTGGAAGACGCGGACTTGGATGTAGTGGTCTCGTGCTCGGTGACCTCCTCCAGTCGAAGCGACCGAAGGGGTCTTGAGCCACTCGATCCACTCGGTCCATCATAGTCGGGGTCGTCCCACTCTTCAGGCCATGACGCACGTGGGTGAGGCAAAGAAAACCACCTTCTGCGACTTGTCGAGGCTTCCGACTCCTCGGACTCGGGATCGACCTGGAAACTTTCGTCGTCATCCTCGTCATGTGGTGGCCCATCAACACCATAGAGCGTTAAACCATTTGCTGCTTGTTGACCATCGTCGCCATCAGCTGCGTCCCAGTCTTCTGCTTCTGGTTCACCTTGTTCGACATTGTTCACAGATTTGCCTCCTTTGGGCTTCTGCTTGTGCTTTCCGGGGCTGCCTTTGCCCTTGCCCTTGTCCTTATTCTGATTGCTGTTGCCTTTGCCACCCGTCCCCTTATGTTTGGGGCCTCCAGGTGCCCAGCAATCTGCCCGCAGATGTCCTGGGCGTCCGCAGTTGTGACATGTTCTCTTCTCAGCTGTTGCATTTCCCTTTCCAGGTTTTCCTCCAGCTCCCTTCTTGCCCTTACCTTTTCCCTTTGCATCTTTTCCAAAGCTTCCGACATCCATAGGATCGTCCACACGGCCATGTGCGTCGTAGGGCTGGCTGTTCACCACCTTGATCTTGTTGCCGGTGGCATGTTCCACATAGGACTGGATCTCGGACAGCATGGACTCGAACGTCTTGAAGCGATCTCGATTGAGAACGAGATGACGCTCGAGCTCTGCCGGCACCAATCGTTCAATCACGTTGATCTTGATGTCTTCTGCCAACATCGTTCGGTTGCCAGATGCGTCTTTGCGACGTTCATAAAGTCTGATGCTGTCAAGAAGCTTCTCCAGGTTGGACGGCAAATCTTCCATCTTGGATCGAGCCGGTGACAAGATTGCATTGAGGAGAGCGCGTTTGCGACCACCAGTGGATGGGTCGTACCTCCGCGTGAGCTTTCTCCAGCTTTCGATGCCGCATTCCCCGGTGTTCAGCACGATGTCAAAGGGCTCACGCTCTGTCAGCATTAGCAGCGCGTCCCAAAGCTCGCGTCTCAATTCACTGATGTTCGACACCTGGTCAATGGCATCTGCTTGACTCCCAAAAGCCTTGTCGATGTCATCTGCAGTGATTGCATGATCGCAATCTTCGGCCCAAACCAGAATCTCACGAAGGTCTTTGCGAACACTTGCAAGATAGGAGGACGTCTTGATTTTCCATGACAAGAATCTTTCGGCTGTCCCATCAAACTTGTCGGGCTTGCCAAGGCCCTTGTTGTCGACCAACCGGACTTGTTCTTTCGATCTAAGGGCGTCCACAAGCTCCTTTTGTGACTGCACCAACTGTGCCAGTGCACTGCCAGGTCCAGCTGAAGCAGCCGAACCGGCACCAAAAGAAGCGACCTGTGCTGTCAGTTCAGCTTCTCGGCCTCTTAGTCGATTGACCTCGGTCTGTAGTTCCTGGAGCGACTGGAGGACCTGTGCCGCTTGTTGTTGGTCCATTGCTAAGACCCTGGAGCGTATCGCTCCGCTACCATGAACGGAGAATATGCAACTCGCTATTTTAGCAGCGGTGTTCTTGAGCCAAAGGTTGGCGTAGCAACTAGTGAGAACCCTATATCCCGTCAATATGTTGTATATATACATATATATATATATATACGTTTGCATGCATCGCACTGGGCTGCAATGTGTTGCACTCCTAACAGCCACCGCCAAGGTGCCCCTGATGGCAGAAGACCACCGCCAGTGGTCCCACAGACAGGACAACCAGAATGAAAGCACCAAGGAAAAGAGCTGCACGACCTGGTTGGAATGTGTTGAAATTGTCAAAACGACTCAAGGTTTTAAAGCAACTTCAAAAGGTGTCGGAGTTGTTTGAAAATTCCCACTTGCACGTGGTATGCAGAAAGCAGGGGCCATGGCAAACACATGGTTGCAATCACTCTACCTTTATTCACGAGGAAAATGGTTGTTAGTGCTGACATCTTGTCGACGTGCACAGTTTGTACCTGTTGCTTCTCTGCTTGAAGTCTCTTTTTCACTTCAAATCTTCAATCTCCGGGCAGAGATTGGTGATGAAACACAGCCTCTCTGCAATAGTGTGACTGTGACCATCTCGAATTTGCAAGTCGACATGTTTGCAGTGGCCTGTTTCACGTAGAACCAGAATCACTTGCAACGTCATTGGATAAAGAAGCCAACTGGGAAGAAGAGCCGCCACAGTCCTGTTTGCGAACTCCCAAGCTCCAGCAGGCTTTGCAGCATCGGAAGCACAGCTTTTTGGACTATGACTAGATTCATCAATGCAATCACAACTGCGTGTTGATCAGAGTTCATCATTTAAGATCACTATCGATGTGTTACGCATTGTCCGCATTGTTGTTACGGTATGCATCCAGCTCAATCGGTTGTGAACGCTGCACTGCGCTCCAGGTCTGCCCATTGGGACACCAGTCGATAGGATCCCGCCAGGTTTCCAAGAAAAGGAAACAGCGCAAAACATGGCCCAAATCCTTAGCGTTGCACTGCCAGACAATCGCTGCATTTTTTGTTGATACAGTAAATATGCTTGAAGAATGTCTGGATTCAGTGCTGAGTTCCAAGCTCATAGCAATCCGTTGTGCCATTGCATTATTCTTATCTAGCACCACTTAGCACAACCCATCCAACCTGTCTATCCACGCCAAGAAACCGGCATGTCTCCGCGCAACTGCACCAGCAAAACACTGAGCCCGAGAAGCATCGCTACCCAGGTAGTCAGGACGACTCGACCCATCCTGGAACCACTTGCTTTGATTTCCAATATTTGCATTGTGTAATTCTTTCATCAAGGAAAGTGTATACAGTCATTCCGAGTCATTCCACAATGAATCAGGATGCATTTGAATAGCGCAGCTTGACTCTTGCGCTTGGGTTCCTGGCCATTCATTTGTTTGTAAAAGATTGAAGTATGGCATGGAAATGTCTGGACCATGCAGCAATGCAACAAAGTTTTCCCAAAGTCGCATTGTAAAGCAACTGACTTTGGAAAAAAGACGGAAAAGTACGAAAAAGTTGCGCCTCCGGACAAAGAATCGCCGAAGCTCACCAGCATCGCAGGAAGTGAGGCGATCAGCATAGGCCCAGTGCGTCACAAAGCCGCTCGTCAGAACAAAGAAATTCACAGCTGCATTGCCTCAGAACATCACCGAGTCACCAACTCTGTGGTGTATTCCTCACCACATCGTTTCACGTCGTTTCACATCGCGTTTCAGCGTTGTACACACCGGCCATGCTGTGATCATAGGATCAGATCGCATCTTGGATCATCTTGGACTTGTGTGATCATTTGGTAGCTTCAAGTGCTGGATTCTGCATGTCCACAAACAAAGCAAGGTCTTCGTGTGATGCAAGAAGCTGTCAAAAGACGGCTATTGGTCGGAACCAAAACCAACAAATCCAACCAGAGCATTTCAAAATGTATCGAATGTGTCAGTTCTTCCCTCGCTTTTGTGGTTGCCATCTCCAAAATCGAGCCACCTCGATGTCTGACAACGGTAAAGGCAGTTTCCTCGAGACGTGGAGCGAAGTGGCCACAGACTATCCAGAGCGAAGCCAAGAAACGCGCACCTCAATCACCGCTGAAGAAAAGCTGAAGAAACGCTTTGTAAAAAAACACCCTGGTGGAAAGTTGATGCAAGTTGAACGATTGTTGGACGCTTGTTCAAAAATTGTTCGAGCAAGGTTGACTTTACCTAGGAAAAAGTCTGACCACAGAGGCGCCTGTCAAGTGGTCCAGTTTTTGAGTTCCCATGCTGCGTTTCCGCCATCTAGGAATCTCAGCTCATTGGCATTTAAGTGGGTTCACCCAAGCTGTTCAATTTCTGCGGTCCAAAGTCTAAGAAATGCTCTATGAGGACTGAGAGAAGTCATGCAACATCATGCAACATCTAAACAGCTAAAACGAGCCATGGGGTCGAAGCCTTTGTGACATGTTCTGGACAAGCTCAAGAGTCTTCAAGCGATTCCTGATAAATTTCTCTTGAGTCTTGAGATGTCGAGTCTTGCTAAGTCTTGCTGAGTCTTGCTTTGAAAGTTGGGTCAGGTTTTCAGAGCTGGAGCCACTGGCAACGTAGCAGAGTTTTTGCAACTGCAAATCGCTTTCACAGTCTGCAGCAGGCCTGAGAGTCCGAAGAGATTATGGATATCGCACCTGGCTTTGCAAACCGAAATCTTCTTCATTCTTAGAACAAGAAAAGCCGATTCGCTGGAGCACGACCTTTACCACAGTAGGTTTGCAAACAGGACAGCGGTTCCAATGTCATGAAGAATGTCCTGTTGGATGCTGGAAGCAAACATTTGTAGTTGCAAAGTATTCAACTCTGATTTTATCACGCAGAGTCTCCTAATCATCTCCTAGCCGTTGCATCAACAGCATGACGCCTAGCAGCTGTAGAACTAGCCTGCTACAATTCAACAAATTTCACCGGTAAGTTGTATGGCATAAGTGCGTGAAATGGACCATGTCTCCCGCCATATTCCTCCTGCCCTGAAATCCAACGTACAAACTGTCACTCTGGCGCTTTCCCATCCTCAGCAGCAATAGTCTCTCCACGGATCCTTGACTCCGCGAAAGCCACGTCCTTCGCATTGCACTAGCTCCAATTAATTCACATTGAGAGCTTAGGACTCTAGAAACGGTCTCGGTCCCCAAACACAAGAGTATGCTGCACTTTCTTAGAACCTGTGGCTCGTTAATCTCTGCAACTCTCTGGAACCATGATGGTGAAAGCTTCAAAGAATACACGTTGTTCAATATGTTCAGTCAATACCTCGAGGCATGAGCATGAAGAGGCAGGGTTTTTGGATTTGATTTGCTTGACCCCGCTTGTTCCATGGTGCAGGAGTCTTCGGGCCTCTGGGATGTTCTTGTTCAAGTGATGGCCTCATACAAGCTGAAGCAAATCAAACAATCAGGGCCACTACCAATACAAAGGGCGCAAAGAAGAATCCGAAAGTCGTCACCCATTTGTATCATGTGTGCTTGATTTGGAGGATTGGGAATCTGAAGTGGGAAAGCTGTCATCGCTGGTTTGTCCAAGTGATGACAACAACTGACAGGAACTGCTTCACTGAGGCATTTGGCAAACCATCAGCATGTCTAGGTGCTCCTGTAGCACGGAGCGAGCACAGACACAGGAGCAGAAACACATGCCTGCACAATATCTACATGGTGGATATGATTCTGCCGCAGCCTGCCTCCATCGTGTTAGTAGTGAATGGTCGCGTTGGATTTGTGGAGGAAGGCAATACGTTCGGAAGCCCACAGACCTGATGCTGAGTCCCAAGATTGACTTGACATCTTTTGTCCAACGTCCTTAAGTTTTCTGAAAGCAAATAGATCGCCAACAAACGAGACAAGACACTTACAACATCGGATAAAAAAGGAGAAAGCCAGCAGCTGAAAAGATTCTCAAGTAACCTAAACTTGAACCACTTAAAGCGTGGAAAGAGACCGTGGCCTGACAAAAGTCAGATTTGAAAAGGCTCAGCGTTTCTGATTCGTTTGAATCTCTATGAATCTCTAGATCGATTGTGCTGGAAGCCTTGATGATGTCTGGCGCGTGACCACCACCAGCTCCTTCTGTGTGGTAGGTGTGAATTGTTCGGCCTACCAGGGAACCCTTGCAACCCTTGATCAATCAGTGGAAAGAAAGGAAAGGGGAGCAGCACACTTCACTGATTCACTATGGAGCAGCCTGCAGTGTGCTGAAGCATGTTGGGTTCTGGGGAAAATTGCACGACAAATATGGCAAATTCTAGGTGCAGAGCCCTTCATGGCAGCGATGGAATCATCGACAAAGCCGGATTCGTTGATGGTGTCCTGGCGACCACTCTTTGGCTTCCTCCTGGTCCTCATGTCAAATTATTTTGGTACCTGATGGTACCTGTTATAAATGTCATGCTACCTGATGGAATGAGTTGCTACAGGTGAACTACCAATGGAGCCTCGAAACGAGCAACGATGCAACATTACGCAAGAACCATAGCCACCAGGCATGCTATCGGTATATGATCTGGCAGAGTTATGCTACGTTGTTCATGGAAGTTAGTTTGCATTCAAAAAAGGATATCAAAATACGGTCGCCCCCCACCGTGTGGATGGTGATGGCAATGTCATTCTCATCCGCAAAGGTAAGGGCAGTGTCGATCACAGCCGGTGTGGTGCCCCAATCCTGCACATTCAGGCTCGCGCTGTATGCCCACTATGCCATCTCATGAAGCAGAGTGAAATGTAACAAATGAAGCAGTGTCATGCAAAAGAAAAGAAAGAAAATGATCAAATCTTTTCAAATTTCTAGTCCTGCAGCCAAAATTTTCACTCTTCATACAATATACGGCATAGGATTATACTATATTCTACGCAAACCAACCAAGCAAAGCATCTGTCAGCCTCATGCAACTTTAGGCCAGCAGCGCCAGCCTGCGCAGATTGGCAAAACAAAAGAACAAAATAAGTAATGAAAAAAGAAAAAGGGTGGCACAAACATCCTTTCGGCCTCTCGGAACCGTGTTGAAAAGATTTGAGCAAGTGCCATTTTGAATTTGAAGGAGAAGCAGCACCACTAAGATGCAGACTTTGATGACTTCCTTCAGTCCTGTAGGATCTGAGGTGTTGCCTGCATTGCAGCTCTTGAAGCAAAGTACTCGCAACAACTTGCTCGCGCAGTGAAGTCTTGCCTGCTTCTAGGGCTCAAAGCTTCGAGAACGAAACCGATGTTTAAATACTTGAGTGTAGGTGTATAATTAATGTGCATATTCCCTGTGTTTCAATGCGTCCCGCCTTTGCCAGAGAAACCAAAGTTCAAGGGGTACCTAGGTCAGCACATTTCGGGAACAAGAGAGGTTTAAGTGGATAAACCTTCTGAGATTCTGATCTTGTCTGGAAGCAGTCCGAGATGGACAGCTAGGCATCCCGCGTGTCTGTGGCTTGAAGCATCATTGCAACCTAGGAGAACCGCAAGGTGGTCGACAACGGAAACAGTTTTGCTTTTGCTGAATTGTCCAAGCGTAACCCGCAGCACATCAACATCATGCAGAAACCAAGCCCAAAGACACCTTTACTTTCTATGATTGTCAATCTCAGAGTATCGGTCTGGCTTTTAGCACAATCATACAACACCGTCTGGGCAAGCACCTTTTGCACTAGAGAGCACCCAACAGGCCCAACAGGCACTTGGAGAAAAAGCCAAAAAAACACCAAAAAACACATCCCTAAACTCTGCAGAGTCCCCGGTTCACTCCCATAGTGACATGTGGAAACTGCCCCATGGCCATCCCCAGCCTGGCTTGGTGCAGGTGTACATGTGGTGGCGTTGGTCCCAGTGGCAGGGCCTGTGCCTGCAGTACAAATGACCGAAGCACTGCTGAAACCCCCAAGATTGAGAAATGGCGGGCGATTTAGCTCTTGATGAAGACCATTGTCTTCTCACACTTTTATCTTTTGAGGAAATTATCCTTTTCTACATCCAGATTTTTTTTTGCTACCACCAAGTGCTGATCCCAGGGCAGCGCAGCCTCCACCGTACATGGTGGTGAGTCCAGAGGCAATGGCATCATCAATCTGCTGTGGGCAGATCCAGTGCACCTCAGCGTCTCCGTACCCAAGACCAACGATAATCCCTCTGCATTCATCTGCATCCTTTCTGCATCTGCATCCAAGATGTGGTAAAAACAATTTGCATATAGCAGATTATAGCAGCAAACTCGTAGCTGGAGAGCCCTCAAACAATTCAAATATTGCAACCCTGCAGAATTGTCCCCAATCTCGAGTTTTATTTGATTTTTTGAAGAGATCAAGCACCAACAAAGGGCTGATCAAACACCAACAAAGGGCTGATGAGCAATCGGAACTATAACATGTATATATACATATATATACATAGATACATGCATACATATAATACCTGGAGCCTATAACCCCTGCAAGTTGAATCGGCTGAATCGGCTGAATCAGCAAAGGTTCGCTTGGAACCTTCAGCACTCATCAAGCTCAAGGCACATGCATGTCAAGTCCACCAGCAGTGACAATCATGCCTTCCCCTGCAATGGCTTCAGTCGTCACCTCAAAGGCATAAGATTGAGTAGATGACTCCCTGCATTAAAATTTGAGCCTCATGCAACAACGTGAACATGAGGTTATATTACAGTATACATTTCAGACCGTCACGTTCAACTCTGTCTCTGCTTCCTTGTTTTCGCCTCTGTGAGGCTCTAAGGAACCAACTCCCACAACCATACCATCCGAAACCTTGTCCATGATGTCAGGGTTCCCAGCCTTGCTGAAACTATGGTGAAAATGCTGGCTGCCCAGGCTGTTGACATGCTGCCGTGCTCCCACCTTGCCGATACCAACGATGCGATTTCCTTTGATCCCAATGTCCTTAGTCTGCGGAGTCAAGTGCAAAGGTCCTGATCTTTGTCTTTGTGATTTCTATCACGTCAACCCATGGAAATGATCCTTTGCATCCAGTTTCACTTTATTGAAAGTTCGGGAAAATGTAAAAAAACAGTTTCTAATGTCCACCTCAGGTCTGCGAGGTCGCTGAGATGCTGCCAAGTAGCTGCTTTCCTCGTGTCAGGTATCAGAGTTCAAGCATGTTTCCAGGCTGTCATTCCATGTCATGTCCGATCATGTTCCAAGTTAAGGGGACAGAATCCAACGAATCTCTGGCAGCTGGTATATTTTCCAAAAAAATATATTATACATTATATACTATATATTACATTTATATATTTTATCTTTTACATTATATATATTATATTATATTATATATACTACATTTTATATTATATATATAATGTCAAATATTATATATAATATGTCAAATATTATATAATGTTTTAAATGTTACAGATTTCATTTAATATATTTACTGTGCTATATATATATATACTGAATATAATGTCTCTATATATTTTATGAAATATATGATATAAAATATTATATATATATACATATATATATTAAATATTATACCTTATATAAAATATTCAATATGATATATTAAATATTATATGTTATATATTTTTTATGTATTATATATGATAAATATATATATATGTCATATTTAAAAAAATGAATAAGAAACAAAATAAATATCATATATATATAAGAAAAAATATCAAATATCATACTTTACATATCAAATATTACATGTTATTTCTAATATACAATATTTTAAAAATTGTATCTTATATATTATATTTTTAAATTTCATATCATGTATAAAAAATTACAAATATTATATCATAAATATTAAATGATATATATATATATCGGATATTATATATATGATATATTATATCAAATATACTATATTAAATATGTTATATTTAAAAAAAAAGAATTAAATCACATATAATATATATAATATGATATTATTTTCTATATGATATACGATATATTATATTGTGAATTTTATCTATTAAAATAAACAACTATTTTATGTATAATGAAACACATATATATATATCGAATATTATATTTCATTCATCAAATAATACATATTACGTAAAATAAATTACATAAAAATAAGCCCAAAGAGTATCCCCAACAGCCAGGAACAAAAACAGTTGCAAAACACCCAATGAGTGAAGTATGTTTATTGCCCCGCCCTTCTTACTCTAGAGGTCGGGCGTACAAGGCGCAATCACAGCACAAACACTTTATGAAAAACCGCTTTTCCAAAAGCCAAAATTCCCGAAGCTCGTGCGAAGGCTTTTTCCCAAAGAACTGCTGTCTGCCTCACTCCTCACTTCATCTACCTAACATACATCATCCACATCTCTTATGTCCTTTACATCACCTACATCTTCTATACCGTCTTCTACACCATCTTCTCTAGATCTACATCTACATCTATACCATCATCATCATTACCACCATCATCATCATCATCATCGTCATCATCTACATCTGTCTCACCTACATTATCTACACCACCTACACATTTTCCATCAACCCCATCTATATGACATGCTTTATCTACAATACATACATTCCCTACATCATCATCTACATCACTACATCCTCTACATCACCCACATCACCTACATCTTCTGCACGATCTTCCCTACATCATCATGATTATCATCACCATCACCACCACCATCATCATCATCACCATCATCTATCTCACCTACACCATCTACATCACCTACACAATCTTTTTCCATCAACCTCATCTACATGATATACATCACCTACAACGCATACATAACCTATATCATCATCTGTATCACTGCATCCTTTACATCACCTACATCTTCAAATCTATCTAACTTTACATCACTTACAACATCATCCTCATCATCTACAACATAGACAACATCACCTACATCAGCTACAGGTGATCAACTTCTAGGGAACTCCTACAAAACTTGAACAATGTCATTTACACAGGAGTTGACTTGCAGGTGATCCATTTCTACTTGAACTCCTACAAGACTCCTGCCGGCATGGTCATTTTGCACAGAAATTGTTGCACAGGAGTTGCTACACAGGGTTCAGCTGACTTCCAGGTGATCAAATTGTATCTGAACTCCAGCAAAATCATCCAGTTCTTCTATTTCTCTCTGGTGGCAGGGACAGCCAGGCGGTGGCTTACGAATCGTTACCCTCTGCGGCGTGTCGGACACCCAAACGTGTTGCGAAATGCGGGTCTTGTTTGTCCTTGGGCAACCCTCTGCGGAGATGGCGCGTGTCGGATGGGCAAACATGTGGTGTGGTGAAATGCGAAACTTCTTTGCCCGCAGCAGCCGTCTGCGGAGATCGTGCGTTTCGAACGCCCAAACATGTGGTGGAATGTGAATTTCTTTTGGGCACGGGCAACCCTCTTCAGAGATCGCGCAGGTCGGACATCCAAACATGTGGCAAAATGCAAATTTGGTGAGGCCCGGCACAGCCCCTTCGCACGAAATGAGGGTTAACCGTCAAAAACTGGTATAAAATTGTGATTTTGAAAGTTCAGATGCAAGCGTGGCATGAAAGTCAAACGGCAATAACTGTGGGAAAACTGCGGTTTTTTAACGTCAGATGCCAACGTTCAAGAATTGGTGTAAAATTGCGACTTTATCCAGTTTGAAACGTCAGGCACAACCGTTTTGCGCGAAATAAACTTGTGTAAAACTAATTTTACAAGGGCGTGTTTAAAGTTTCTGCACGTATAAGATTGTAAAAGCTGCTCTGTGCAAAGGCCTCTCTCTGTGCTCTGTGTAAACCCTGCTCTGTGAACAAGCTTCTATGCGTAAAGGCGTCTGTGTGTAAAAGCTCTGTGTGCAAAGGCGTGTGTGTAAAGCTTGTGTGTGTGTGTAAATGCTTCTGTGTATTAAAGATGCTCTGTTTAGACGCTTCTCTGTGTAAAGCTTCCGTGTGAAAACCTTGTGCATAAAAGCTTCTGTGTGTAAAGGCCTCTATGCATAAAAGCGTTTGTGTAGAAAAGCTTCTTTGTGTAAAGGCGTCTCCGTGTAAAAGCCGCGCTGTGTAAAAGTTGCTCTCTGTAACGGCTTCTCTGTGTAAAAGCGTCTGCGTGTCAAAGCTGCTCTGTGTACCGGCATCTGTGTGTGTGTGTGCGAAGGCGTCGGTGTGTAAAAGCTTCTGTGTGTACAAGCTTCTCTGTGTAAAGGCCTCTCTGCGTCAAAACTTCGGTGTGTAAAAGCTGCTCCGCGTAAACGCTGCTCTGTGAAAACAAACCTGAGTGTAAAAGCTGGTCCGCGCAAAAGCTTCTCTGTGTGAAAGCTGCTGTATCTAAAAACCGTTTGTGCTCAAAGTTCCTTCCCGCAAACACTTGTCTGTGAAAAAGCTTCTCTGTGCAAAATCTTCTCTGTGTAAAAGCTTCTCTTTCTGTAAAAGCTGCTCTGTTTAAAGGCTTCTCTGAGTAAAAGCTTCTGTGTGTAAAAGCTTCTGTTTGTGAAAAGGCTGTAAAAGTTTCTGTGTCTAAAAGCTTCTTTTTGTAAGGCGTGTGTGTGTGTGTGCAAAAGCTCCTGTGTGTAAAAGCTTGGGCATCTGCGCGTTAAAGTTCCTGTGTGTAAAAACTTCTTTGTGAAAAAGCGTCTGTGTGTAAAGCTGCTCTGTGTAAAGGCTTCATGTGGTAAGGCTTCTTTAGAAAAGGCTTTTCTGTGCAAAAGCTTCTGTGTGTAAAAGCGTCTGTGTGCAAAAGCGTCTGTGTAAAAGCTGCTCTGTGTAAATCCCTCTCTGTGTAAAGGCTTCTGTGTGTAACATCTTCTCTGTGTAAACTTTCCGCTGTGTAAAAACAACATGTCTTTGGATTCTGACTGTCACTCAGGTGCCAGCCCTGGAGCAAACCCTCTGTGGGGCCAAAAAAGGCGCGAAACCGTGGATATATGATATGACTCGCGTCAGCTATCATTCATCATCATCTCCATCGCCATTCATCCTCGTCATCGTCATCGCCATCATCATTGTCGTCATCATCATCACCATCATCATTTTTCTCGTGTGTTATCTTCTCGTCTCCTCCCTACTGCCTTCTTTCATGCCACGCTGTCGTCTAGTGTTTTATCCATGTGCGAGTGCCGTATCATTTTTTGAAGCAAAACTAGTTCTTCAATCTCTCCGTTCCGTTATTAGAACAAATCTTCAAACTTTGCAGCGTTCTGTTGTTCAATGTTCTTGGAACCTTGCCTGGGCAATTGTTCCTGGACACGTTGCTTGACGCTTGTTTATCGGAACCTTGCTTGGGAAACTGTTCTTGGGAGCCTATTCTTAGGAACCTGCTCTTGGGAGCATTGCCTGGTAACCTGTTCTTGGGAACTTTCTCTTGGAAACCTGTTCTTGGAAACTTTGCCTGCTTGCTTCAAACCTGTTCATTGGGACCTTGCTCGGGAACCTGTTTTTCGTAACTTTGCTTAGGAACCTTGTTTAGGAACCTGTCCTGCCGAACCTGGCTTGGGATTCTATTCTTGCTTCCAACCTTGCTTGCAGATGGTCTTCGAAATTTCGCTTTGCAAGTTGTTCTTGAAAAGCTGTTCCTGGGAACATGAACAACCTGAAACCATGCTTGGGAACATGTTCGTGGGAACCGTGCTGGCAACCTATTCTTGGAACCTTCCTGGAGAATTTGTTCTTGGAACCCGAACCTGTTCTTGGGAACCTGTTCTTCGAACCCTTGCTTGCGAACCTGTTCTTGCGAAGGTTGCTTGCAAACCTGTCCTTGGGGAACCTTGCTTGGGGACCTGTTCGTGGAAACCTTGCTTGGGAACCTGTTCCCAAGGACCTTGCCGCTACCCTGCAAGGAA